TTGTGGATACTACAGATTTTGTTTTTAAGGCAGCATGGCATAGTGGATAGTGAGTAGCGATTCCTTGAAATCAGGAAGGCCTGGATTTTAGTCCTGCCTCTGACATTAGCCATGTGACCTGGATAAGTCACTTAACATTTTTGTTAAGTTACAGTTCTCTGGCTGCAGCCTGTGCTAACACTTTAAGGTACAAAAGAATTTCCATCTCATTAGACCCAGAGAGTTTCCTTATCACAAGTTCCTTGCTTATATAGATGAAATCATAGGTCCAGACCAAAAAAAAGGATGTTGTATTTCACTTGTTCTGTAATTAAAAGTTTACTTTACTGCGTTAGCTTTACTTAATTTCATTTTTAAGTTATTATTATGACAAAAAAAAAACCAAGAGGCAAAATTTATTTATTTTTAACTTGAGGTACCAAAATACAGCTTGGGCATGTTTAGAGTAGAAAGTAGAGATGTTAGCAAACATAAATATGAATATGGCTAAACATAACTGAATTAAGTCAGCCCTTTTCAGGCAGAAAAGATGAATGTGTCACTACTTAGTCCTTTCTGTCATGCATAAGGAGGAGAGATTGAGTTCTGGGACTGTGCACATATTAAAACCTTTTAGGGATACATTTTGAACTGTTAAACTTGTTAGTGATTTTCTTGTTTTTTTTCCCTCATTGTAATGAGATATACACCTGGGTTTTGTTTTGTTTTGTTTTGTTTTTTTATTTTATTTTCTTTAAAAGCTTACAGGGAAACAAATGAACTGTTTTTTATATGATATAGATTTTAAGACTTGACTTTCATATTGAAGATTTTTTAACAATTTGATTCATGTTTGCCAGTTTGATGTCCTCAAAATAACTATCCGATGATTATCTAATGTCTCTTTATTTTGTGGTAAAACACTTTTTGCATTGCGTTTTGATTATTTCAAGAGCTGGATTGGTTTGATCCAAAACTTTTTTGGGGGGAGGGGGGGAGGGGATATAAATTTTCTGTTAGGATTATCTTAGATAATCCATTTAGGTAATTTCATAATGAATTTTCCCGACTTTGTATGTGTGGTGTTGTATCTACATCTACATCTGGCTCTGAGACAATCAAACGGCAACCATTTTTAGCCAGACAACCTTTTGGACTTCTTAATCAAGACGTTTGGATTTCTTGTTCAATATGTTTATTTATAAGTTTTAAATACTTAATGTTGTTTTGTTTGAATTTGTCACATTTCTGTGGAGACCAAGACTGTGTGAATATGATAATATATAACCACATTGACTTAGCTGTGACTTGATTTTTTGAGAACCAGCACAGTGAAAGCCACAATTTTGTGAATTCTACTATTTAGTGCTATAAATCCACATAGATCCTATTCTTTTATGGAGGGTCTAATCCAGTTAAGTCCACATTTCACAATTTGCACTTTTCATTTAAAAATGGGTTAATTAACTGATGAAGAAAATCTTCAAGTAAAGGATTTGTTACAGAAGTGAAAACTCCAACATCAGGATGTGTTAGTGTTTTGGTTTTTCTGATAGAGGTGAATGAACTCATTTGATTAAGAATTAAGCCCCACAGTCTTTCCTGACCACCCAAGATATCTGGAAACGAAGAATTATCTAGAAGGGAAGGGAGATGGGACATTCTGTAAATGGGTCACTATTAGATAAAATTGAGAGAATTTGTGAGATAGTGAATTAATTCACTGAAACAATGCCTAAAACCACACCAAACTAGATAGTTCTGCCCTTGTCTTTAGTCTGGCTTTAACATGAAGTCCTAAACTGCATCAGTCTAAGAATTGGATATCACTGTTTAGGTGGCATAATTTTTAGGTCAGCTTTGGAACCATTTCCTATTAATTTTTATTTGTGCCAAGTTACATTTTCTCTTTTGACACTGGGAAAAGTGGAAGCAAAATATTCATTGAAATATTTTTTGGGGAATGAGAATGGTTTGAGGATCAGTGATAATTCTCCCAGAATGTACTTTTCTTACCTCAGCATGGACTTGTAGTCACTCTGTATTTGTATATGTTGCTAGAATTTAGATTGTATAAATAGAATTCTATGTGTTGATGTTGTTTTTAATAAATTATGTACATACTATGCTCAAGTTATTTGTGAAGAAAATGGTGAATTTTTCATAATATTGAGAAAACTGTGTCCTGATGCATCAAAAGTCTCTTGTTGTTCAGTTGTGTCTGACTCTTCATGACCCCATCTGGGGTTTTCTCGGCAAATATACTGGAGTGGTTTGCCATTTCCTTCTCCAGCTCATTTTACAGATGAGGAAACTGAGGCAAACAGGGTTAAGTGACTTGCCCAGGGCCACACAGCTAGTAAGTGTCTGAGGCCAGATTTGAACTTGGGAAGATGAATCTTCCTGACTCCAGGCGTGGCACTCTATCCACTTCGCCACCTAATTGCTCAGGCACCAAAAATCAGGAAGGGTTTTTTGTGCTTTTTACATGCTTTGCACAAATTAAGGGATTTCATGGAAAAAGACAGATGCTTATCTAACTTTTGAAATAAAGAATTAAACTTTGACATTTAAAACAAAATTTTCTAAGTCAATCAGTGTCAGTCTCAAATTTTCCAAGTCAATCTCACAAAACTTGATTTAGATTTGAGATAACATCAGGTCCAACCTCCTAACTGTGAATTGACTTGCTATTTCCTCATTTATTTGTAGAAATAAATCAAAGAGATTTCAAGCTTGTTAAGTGCTGGGAGAGGCTGGTACTACCTTTACGTGTACTTTTGTTCTCTTTTTTTGGGAGGAGGGAGGCAATCGGGGTTAAGTGACTTGCCCAGGGTCACACAGCTAGTGAGCATTACGTGTCTGAGGCCAGATTTGAGCTCAGGTCTTCCTGACTCCAGGGCTAGTTCTCTATCCAATGTCCCACCTAGCTGCCCCCCGACCTTGTTAACTTTTGTTCTTAAATTAAAATTTATCCTTTCCCTTCAGTTGAGTAATATTGTCATTGGGTGAGCAAATAAGAGTCGACCCATTTTGTACTTTTCTCCATTTTTCCCATTCTTTTAATCGTTAAATCTTCTTTAAATCTTTTTTTCCTCTGAATTCTAGTGTGTAGTCAGAGATAGTAACAAGGTTGTTAAGCGTTGCCTATTGAAGTGGTATGTGTATATATGAAATATATTTACATTACTCATTGCTACTGTTAAATGTTTGAATAGGTGAAATACTTTTTTCTTCATGGGGCTTCTGGTCATCATTATGATTTAATCTTAGAATCCTTTTTCTACATCAAACAGTCCAAAGACAGTGTTCTCCAAACTGTTCTTCATGCTGCAGGTCTCCTCCTCCAGGCCCCATGATTTGTTATGTAATTCCTGATTTCACCCTCTGGAGTAGAACTTAGAGGTTTACACCATAAACAGCTTGTCAAAAGAGCAGCACAGCATTAGTTTCCTTGTTACCAAAATCATTGTCAAAGTTGGAAGCTCAACATAAAGCTGTCAAAGTGGAGAACGTTATATCTTCATTTTTCTTTTGTATTGTTTCATCTTGATCCTCAATGCCCTAAAGGAAGGATGATGTATAAGTAAGTTTCCTCTACAGATTTATGATCTAATCTAGTAAATTTACTCATACACCTGTTTCACAATGCAAAATGAAAAGAAACTGAACACACTGATATCCTAGAGGACAGGGTTCAACCTTAGGATGAGGATAAATGTATTTCACACTACTTTTTCTTAATTTAAATAAATTTTTATTAAGCAGCTACTATGTACAAATCACTGTGGGGAGACAGATTAAGAAGATGTGGTCCTTGCCTCAAAAAGCTTACAATCTAGTAAAAGGGATGACATTTACATAAAATAGAAATACAAGGCTAACAGAAAGGTCTTAAACACAGCGGGGGTGCTGTGGAGGTGGAGGTAACTTAAGGGTGGAGGATTTGGGAGTAATCATGGAGAAAGAGGCATATGAGAATTTAAGTAGACAGAACAGATGCTGTGGGAAGGACATTTTAGGGCAGAACATAATGAGTGAAAATACTAAGGTGGGGAAGCACTTTATTTAGTTCAGTGGGAATTTCCTGATGTAAGTTATGAATTCATTCTGTAAGCCAAGGGAAAGTCACTGAAGAGTTTTATAGTAGTGAATAACAACCAAAGCAGTGCGTTAGGAAGAGTAATTGTAGTGGACCACAGTGACCAGAGGCAGTTAGAAGGTAGTTGTTTAAAAAAAAAAAGGTACAGGAGGTACTGTGGTAATGAAGGGGGTAGTACTTTGAAAATGAGGGGGCTGTGGGTAAGAGGAAGAATGTGAGGGTGAAACATTATGTGAGAGATCCAGGGACTTCAAGCCAGGCAAATATTGTGAATTATTAGATTGTCTTCATCTATTGCAGCCATTTTGGGGGATACTGAGGTAGACAACTAGGATGCTGAGAGCAGTAGGTTTTTATTACAAGTGCATTTTTAATTGATACAAGCGAAGACTTAAGGTATAAAATTGGGTAGGAACAGTCAAGGATACAGCTGGAGAAGTCCCCCAAATCACTGCCTTTTCAGGCTACAGCCAGAGAGAGAAGGGGATTGATGGTCCACAACTAACCCATCCAGTGATGCCAAAATCATTATTCAAAGTAGTTCAGAATGGATATAGCTAGTTTGTCCATACATCAGGGCAGCTCAGTGGGGTTTTATAGGGAGGGACAGAGGTCTTGTTCAAGTGCATTTAATTGGTTTCCTATCAGTGATATCACAGGTAGTAAGAAACCAGAGACAGTTTAAGAAACCCAGGTGAAGATAGCATGGACCTGAAAGTTTACAAGTTTTTAAGCATCAAAGACTCAAGAAAATCAATAAGGGGGGGAAGGGAGAGAGAGGGGGAAACATGTCTAGACCAGAGACAACCGGTGGCAAGAAAGACAATCCCTAAAAGAAGTGTCAAGACTACAAGAGTTACAAGGATGACTTTTGTAATATTTTGAAAAAAAAAAAACAACAAAAAACAACTCAGTTTTTATTCAAGTATTTTTCATTTAAGCTTTCATTCAAGTATTTTTATAATTTACATTTGCGCTTCTGAAAACTCAATTTCTATTTCATTCTAAAGACATATCACCACTGTAAACTAAAATGAATGTCTCCAGATGCCATGGCCTTCCATGATCAAAGTTGGCTTGAGGAGAAAAACAATAGAGATTAAACAGAGATTAAGGCTATTCAGTTAACTTTGGCCAAAACACAGCTCCTGAGTCAGAGATGCAACGGTTGCAAATTAAAATCTCCAGATGATTCAGATGAAAACTTAAAATTCCACAGACACAATGCTATTATCGTTCCTTTATTCTCATGCTATTCAGGCCTATTTCATCCCAGATCAACTCTACTCAGGTAGTCCAGCTTTCAGAATATAATTATCATTTTGATTGGGGTATCTGAAGAGAACTGTAGAGCTTCCCAATTTTCTTGATCCTTAGAAATTTAGACTTCTTCCAAATGAGAATTTAAAGTTAGGATTCTTTCATTTTAAAAATTGAATTTTCAGAATATTCTAACATTTGACCTGCTATCTTAACTGCAATTTGTTTTCATAATTAAATATATTCACAGAATGCAACTTCTGTTAAATCTACACCAGCAGACAGTAGCAGACTCAAGTCTTGAACACTTCCTAACAATCATACAAAAACTGAAAGACATATTTTACAGAAGTAGCTTGACATTTAAAAAAATAAACTCAAATTTTATAAAAAAAATACCAATGAAAAATCAATATCTTGAGAGTCTTTAGGGTCAATCTTTTGTCAAGTTAACAACGAAGTTCTTTTCTATGATATTCTTTAAGAAAATCTGTTCTGCAGTTATGTTGTGGTATTCATTCTAAAGACAAAGAAAAAGTGAAATTATAAATTGTTGCCATTCAAAAACAAAAATTACATGTCTGCCAGAATGCAAGGGAGCGGCTAAGAGTAAATCTCTCTGTTTCTCTCTAGTTAAGTATCAAAAAATAATGAAAAGCCACAGTTTTTCTAAAAGGGCATACTTGCTATATCTTTTTTATTTTGGCATCTCTCAAACTCACCTTTTCCATTCATTCCATGAATAATCGCTTTTTTAATTTGGTAGGACCTAACCCAGTCTATGGGCAGTTAGGTGGCACAGGGGAGAGAGCTCTGGGCGTGGAGTCAGGAAGACTCATCTTCCTGAGTTCAAATCCAGTATGGCATTTGTGACCCTGGGCAAGTCGCTTAACCCTGTTTGCCTCAGTTTCCTCATCTGCAAAATGAGCTGGAGAAGAAATGGCAAACCATTCCAGTATCTCTGCCAAGAACACCTCCAAAATGAGGTCATGAAGAGTCAGGCATGACTGAAAAACTACTGAACAATAACCTAGCCAAATGGCTAGGTTTTCCCTGAAAAAAAATTTGTCTAGACCGAGAAAATAGCAAAGAAGAATTTTAATTGAAATGGAAAGAAAGCATTATATATTCAAGAGAGGTAGAAGAGACTTTAGGGCCTTCTAGTTCAACCCACCCCACCTCATTTTATAGATGAAGAACTGAGACCCAGAGATACTGACTGACTTGTTCTAGGTCACATGGATAATAATTACAGTCAGGATTTGAACCTGGGTCCTCTGGCTCCAAGTTTACTGTGCTATGCTGCTTCCTGAGCCACGCTGGAGGCAGTCAACAAAAACATATATTAATTTCTGGGAATATAAGACACGTAATAATACTGCCTTCAAGGAGCTTACATTCTAACAGAGGAGACAACATGTAAGCAACTATGTACACATAAGATAAAAGAGGTATCCTTTCTGAGATTACTTCCCTTTTGGATAAACATTTTTGTTGTTAAAGGTTAAATGACTTGCCCACGGGCACACAACTAGTAAGTGTCTAAGGCCAGATGTGATCTTGGGAAGATGAATCTTCCTGACTCCAGGCCAAGTGCTCCATCCACTGAGGGAGAGTCAGGGTGCTGGCGGAGGGGTGTGGCGGTGCCAGGGATGGAGAAGGAGAGAGAGGAAGGAAGGAAGAAAGAAAAGGCTCTGAGGAATGGGGGTATAGCTGTTAGGTGACCTAAGTTCATAGGATTTAGGTTGAGAAGAGGCCTTGGAGGTCATCCAGTTGCTTTCATTTTACCAGTGAGGACATTGAGGCTCAGTGATTTGTCCAAGTTCAAGGAGCTAGTGACAGAGACAGGTCTTTCAATTCTAAATCCAGTGGGTTTTTTTTTAAATAATGCATGTAACCACAGCCTGCATCAAAGGTTAATCCAACAATTTATCTTATTTCATAGGAAGCCAACAGAAATTAGTATGGTCTAAAAACTAAGTTTGTGGTTTTTGTTCAGTTGTTTCAGTCATGTCCAGCTCTTCATGACCCCATTTGAGCTTTTCTTGGCTAACATACAGGAATGGTTTGCCATTTCCTTCTCCAGGTCATTTTACAGATGAGGAAACCGAGGCAAAGAGAGTTAAGTGAATTTCCCAGGGTCACACAGGGAGTAAATGTCTGAGGCTGCCTTTGAACTCAGGTCTTCCTGATTCCAGACCTGGAGCTGTATCCACTGCACCACCTAGCTTTCCTACAATTAAGTAGGCAGATCTCATCAAAATAAGGTTCCTTCCTCTCTGGCTTTAGATGAGTTTGGAAATGATTTGAGGAACTCGGTTTCATTTTTAAACAAGCCACGTTGTCTGTCGGTCACTCTGGTCCTGTCAGTTGTAAGTCACTTGGAGATACGCCCCAACTCAGTGATGTTTTTGGATATATTGGGAAATATGAGGTCTATGCTGGGCTTAACTAAAGTGTGGCTTTTTTGCTCAGCCTCTGAGACTGTCACTGGTGATCACAGAGCTTGTGTTATCTCATTCTACGGGACAACAAATAAAATTGGCAATAGGAGAATTAAGTCTGGACAAATTTCATCTTCAGAATGGAGCAAAATAACCCCCTGACTCAAGAGTAGTTGTGAATGATGAGACTGTCCTAATCTACACTGCCAGTATAAACTTGTAACATCATAACCTTGAGAATATCGTGTAAGGCAGATTTCAGAGCTACGGCAACAGAGCAACACAGAATCCAAACCCTTAACAAGCTTCAGAAAATGCAACCAAACGTCATGCAAAAGACCTGTTTTCACTAACCACATCCCTCTCTCCTAATCCATCCCCCAAGAGGACACCAAAGAGGCATGCTTTCCTTACCTCGATCATCAGAGACATGGTTGTATTCCCATAATAGTGCAAAGGCCCATTTATATCAGTAAAATTGTACTTAAAACCTGCTAAGTGAACTTCATGGCATATATAAAATGCCAGTGTGATGGCGATGATCCCTGTTGTTGGGTGTTTGGGTTTCTAAAAGCAATGAGAAACAGGGCATAAAGGGCTTGTAACCTGCAAGGAAAGTCTAATACAACAGCCTACTTTAGTTTTAAAGCATAATGGATTTGAAGAATCTTATCTTCAACAAAAAGCATTTGCCACAGAAGAATGAAAACAACACATCCTAAAAAAATGAAGGGCATTATATACAATTACTGTATTTGCCTAGAATAATTCAAATACCACAGGACTTATTTTAAAAAAAAGACTATTTTATTAAGATACTTTCCTGGGCTAGAGAAATAGCATGTATTTGTGTCACCATATGCTGGTAGTGATGAATGGGTAATTAGCAAATTAATTGCTATTTAACATTGTGTTCCTAAGATAAATTTGTTTATCTAGTTTGTGAAAGTATTTTTCAATTTGCCTATATAAAACTTGTGAAATTTAAAACTATATTTTTGAAAATCAAAGATAAAAGTTAAATGTTTATGCCTTGATGACAAGTTATTCAGGGGAACTAACAACTCTATTACTAGTCCTGCAAACATACATGGGTTCTAAAGGGAGGGGTCTCTGCAGTTAAACAACCCAAAAGACAGAATGTGACAATCATCACCTGACAAAAAAATAAAAAGTTACCAGTATAATACACATAATTTGCTCATTTTTTAGAGAGGTGTCCTTTTAAATTTCAGAGCATTTCTCCAACACATCCTGTTTGAAGCAACACAAGTGACTTTCACATTTCAGTGTTAATAACTTCTCTACTATGACATTCAAAGGTGAATTCAGTATATGACGTTTGTTAAGTATTATATCCTTCCTCTTTTACAATGAATCAAGGATTTTCCTTTCTGTTAACATGTCATACTAATAACCTTAAGGGAACTTGGTTGTTTCTGTTACTTCAGAAGGAGCTGTAGTTATACCATTTCAGAAAGCGTAATTGCATATGGCAGGAAGAATGTTTTTATCCCAAACACTATTACTCTACCACTGAATCTTATTAATTAAACAATTCTTAGCATGATCAAACTTTTTTGATGATGCATTCTAATCAGTGAAAAAAAACCTGATCCCTATTCCCTACACAAACACACACATATATATATATAATATATATGGATAGATGGATAGATAATCATAATCATATATATATGCTATTGTATATACTAGAAAACTTACACAAAAATACAAATTTAAAAAGAATGAGATAAAGATGAATAAATATTGATCCTAGACTCAACAGGGGACCCACTGAAGTTTATTGAACAGAAGAATAATATAGTCAGACCTGCACTTTGGGAAAATCACCATGGCAGCTAAATTATTGTACCAATCTAGGTGATAAGGATCTGGACTAAGGTGTGGTGACTGTGTTAGGGGACAGAATAGGAGTGATGAGAGCAATGTTGTGGACAGAGAAATGACAAGGCTTGGATATGTGAGGGAGAGGGTATGTGAGTTAAAGATGATACTAAGGAGGCAAACCTAGGTGACTAGAAAGATGGTGGTGAGAAACAGGGAAGCGCAGAAGAGGCACACATTTAGTAATTGTTCTTTGCCCTCAAGTGTTACTTATAAATAAGCATCTGATTTCTAAACTGTTTGTCCAAATTACAGAATGGATATATTTTACCTTAATTGTAAATAGTTAAGTTTCAAATGTAAAAAGTATTTTTTTTTCTTTACCAGAATACAGATGAAAAAAAATCAAACAATATGGAGGTAATAAGATCTGTGATGGATATTTCAGATCATCCATGCCTGCTCGTCCTATCCCATACAAAATGAAAAGGGAGAAGGTGGGGGTTTTTTCATCACCCCATCACTGCCCCAGAGCCAGAACCTGCTTACCTAGTGAACAAGAGACAGAGAGAAAGAAAGAGAAAGACAGAAAGAGAGAAAGAGAGAAAGAGAGAGAGAGAGAGAGAGAGAGAGAGAGAGAGAGAGAGAGAGAGAGGATACTACTAGAAGATAAAGCTAAATGTGAGTGCATTAAGACAAATCCCATGTTAGCTATCACGGGGAGGGTGTGACATGACCCATCTTCCTACCCTCCACTGAATGATCACCTATTTCCTGGGGTCAGGCCAAAGCCCCCACTTCTGGAGACCAATGATCTAGAGTAGTAGTTCTACATTAGGTGCCCCTTCTTTGCCTTCTACTCAATATGCCATGTGTATACTTACATACATACAAACACAATAGGGATCTAATATAGAATATACATGTTTCATAGAAACATGTATATTATAACATATTACTGTATTAATATTATATATGTATTATTTCACCATCCATAAGTTTCAGAGCTACAGATGAGGAAACAGAGGCCCAGGGAGTGTGTAGACTCTTGAGAAGAGACCTTGGACCTCAAGACATGAGACTCCATGGCAGGGGTGGGGAATCTGCAGTCTCCAGGCCTTCTAGGTCCTTGGGTGTGACCTTTTGACTGAGTCCAACTTTTACAGAACAAATCCTTTTTACTAAGGGAATTTGTTCTGTGAAGTTTGGATTCAGTCAAAGGGCCGCACTTGAGGACCTAGAGAGCCACATGTGGCCTCAAAGCCACGGATTCCCCATTCTTGCCCTATGGGGAAAGAGACCCTAGGACAATTTACCAGTCATTTAAAAGTTGTTGCTGGGGAGGCTTCAGGGATAAGTGGATGAGGAAGAAGTACAGGACAACGGACAATGGGGGAAGCCATGTGATAGATTCCTTATTCTTGCTAATTAAGAGTTAAGTTCACTTCTTCCTATCTACTGAAGTCGTATCAAAGCTGTCAGAAGCCTTTAAATTCTAGTGTTCCTGGGCAAAACTCTTGTTCACCCGTTCTGCTGATGTACAATAAGGGATCAAGCTGGAAGAAACTTCAGAGAGCATCTAGTCAAAATTATTCAAGTGCCTCAGTTTAATAGAGAGAAAACTGAATCCCAGGGCTAAAACTAAGTCTTCTGATGCAATTTCCATTTCTTTCTGCTGTGTCGTAACAGACAGTAGAATCTCGCTATGTTAAGTCTAACATCCTCCATCTTTGCTGAACCCTAATTAGGTCAATTAGTCAAGGAGAGAAATCAATGAAAATCCTTCCCTGGGCTGGTAAGACAGAGCACCCATTCAGCAACTGTCCTCTGCCATCAAATGTTACTTATTAAATAAGCATCAAATTTTATAAATTGTTTGCCTGAATGATGGAGTTGAAATATTTTACCTGAATTGTATGGAGCTGAGTTTTCAAATGTAAAGTTTTTTTTTTCTCCTTACCAGACTACAGATAAAAAAGCAGACAATTATATGGACGTTTATTTTGCTGATACTCTAACAAGTGAGTCTGGATAGTACATAGTCAACAAGATTTATTTTAAAATAACATCTCAGTCTTTAAAGAGCTAATGTTACTTTGGCCACTATTTCTAAAGCAGTTTTCTGTAGCACAACTCAAAACAATAATGATAATAATATAAATATCTCATTTGATCCTCACAACAACCCTAGAATGTAGGTGCTATTATTATCCCCATTTTACAGTTCAGGAAACTGAGGCAAACAGGGACTAAGTGACTTGCCCAGGATCAGAGAGCTAGTAAGTGTCCAAGGCCACATTCAAACTCAGTTCTTCTTGACTCCAGGCTCAGTGCACTACTCATTGAACCACTCAGCTGCCTATGAAATTCTAAGAGGCAGAGTGGTGTGGTGGACAGAGCACGAGACCTTGATTCCAGAAGATCTGGATTCAAATCATACCTCTGCCCATAGCAGCTTGCTCTGCTCTGTAATATCTGTGCCTTAGTTTCCCTATCTGCAAAATGAAAGAGCTGTGCCAAATACATGGCCTCTAAGTTCCCTCCCAGCCCTAGATCTATTAGCCTAAGACCATAGATTCTGGGTAACCCTAAAAGTTCTGACTCTCCCTATTCTCCTAATCTATGACAATTGGGGGAGAAAAGACAAAACAAACATAAAAGAAGAAAAAAAAAACATCAGTTGCATGAGAATAGATTATACAATCCATACTTATTTCAAAACCTCAAAAGATCCATCGCTGTATAATGTGTGGGCATTTCTTCCATTCATGTAGGTTGTGCATGCCCCACAAGGCTTGTAGACAGTCTTTGTAAGGTGCTCTAACCCAGGCACTTCCCCATGCTTAGCCTGGCTTAGCTTGGCTCCTCCTCAGCTAAGAAGCACACAGTCCATCCCTCATCCATAATCAAAGCTTCTTCAGTTCTTAGGACAGGCCCAAAGTCTGCCTTTTAGAAAGCAGGGCAATCTCCACACAGTGATTAGGCATCAGGGTTGGACTTAGCTGATCTGTGCACACACATATATTTCTATATTCATAGAAATAGGCATTTCTTCTATGTATATAGAAATATATGCATATCTTCTTTATATAAAATATACATATATGTACATATACACATATACCTGTACACATGTATGCATGTATATGTATACATCTATACATAGACATTAAAAACACGTGCAAATATATATAGGTGCATGTCAGCATTCTTACTCCTTCCATACATCTCAGAATAATCCCAGTAGAGGATACCACTCCTCTCTCTAGTTTATAGGTCTTTTTGCCAAAGCCCTTCTTTTGTCCCTTAAAAAAAAAATCCTGATTCTGGAATTGTTAAAGAATAAGTGAAAAAGTCCATACCTCCTTTTTGGGAAAAGTTGTAGGAAAATGAAGCAAGTTGAAAGCAGCTATTCTTGTAATTATAGGGTCGAGGATTCTGATTTTTTCAGGTTTATAGATCAGATTTAAGGCTGGTTTCTTCCAAAAATAATTAACCTCCTAAAATAAAGAAACAGCAAAATGATGAAAATTGGCATTGAAACACTTTTTTTCAAAAAATCAAATGTTTTCAAAAATTAAAAAAAAAACAAACTTTTAGACCAACTTACTGGTGTGATGCCAGCCAGCAATTCCCACAACCACTTCAAGTCATGGGATTTGAAGACTGTAAGGATGGCAACAGAGTTAGGATCACTGTCGGCTGGGTTTGTAAAGACGGACTCTGGGTAAAAAATCCGGAAAGTTGTTCTTGTCCCGACATCCTCTTCGTGTCCTCTGACAGGTCCATCATTTATTCTGCAGAGGAAATTCAATGTAGCTGTAAATCTGCTCTTGTCCTTTACTACAGCATGAAGAGATTTCATAATGACAGGACCTTTAAAACAAACCACAGGCAAACCAGCCTGGGTCGCCCACTTCTGAAGCACAAAACAAATCTTCAATGTCTTAAACAATGGCCCAGGACGGCCCTTACTGGGCATTGCACAGGCAAGTAATTACCTCTATGACCCCGAAGAGTGTGACTCTAGCTGATACCTCCTTACCGAAGGCAGGGATGTGTAATTTGTTTCAGCCATTTACTTGTCAAGTTGGTAGAAACCCTGAATTCAGAAAATTTTGGTTGAAATTTTCAAGTATAGTTTGAGTATTTTCATTTCTTTATAATATAATGTAAAGGGCCAGGAGAGGCTACTTCTCATTTGCTTGGAAGGTGATATGAGAAAAGGACACTGGCTGTGGGGTCAGAGGGCCTGGGTTCAAATCTTGCCTTTGAGGCTTACTCTCTGGGGTTCCTGGGCTGAGTCATTAACAACCTCCCTGGGCCTCAGTTTCCTTGGTTAGTCAGTCAATAAATACTGATTAAGCACCCACTATGTGTCAGGCACAGTGCTAAGTGTTGAGGATACAAAGAAAGGTGAAAGACAGTCCCTGTTCTCAAGGAGCACAGTCTAATTGGGGAGACAACATGCAAACAATTGTATAAAAACAAGTTTGTTATCGTTTAGTCGTTTTTCAGTCATGTCCAATTCTTTGTGACACTTTTCTTGGTAGAAATACTGGAGTGGTTTGCCATTTCCTTCTCCAGCTCATTTTAGAGATGAGGAAACGGAGGCAAACAGGGTTAAGTGACTTGCCCAAGGTCACACAACTCGAGTCTTAGGCTGGATTTGAATTCAGGTTTTCCTGACTCCACACCCCAGTGCTCTATCCACTGTACCACCTAGCTGTTTCCTTCCCCTTCCGCCCCCCCCCCCAAAAGAGGAAAAAACCTATATACAGGATAAATTGGAAATAACTAACAGAGGGAAGACATTTGAATTAAGGAGAATCAGGAAAACTGCTTGTAGAAAATGAGATTTTAGTTGAGACTTGAAAGACGTCTAGGAAGCCATGAGGCAGAGATGAAGAGGGAGGGTATTCCAGGCATGGGGGACAACCAGAGAAAATGCTTGGAGTCAGGAGATGGCTACAAAACAAGGTGTTGGGCTAGATCCCCTAGGAAGTCCTCTCGGACTCTAGCTCTATAATTCTATGCTCTCTCTATGATTTGTAGAAAATCATAACAAAAAAATGGTTATACTTGGAAGGGGCTTTAAAGGTCATCCAGTCCGGCTGCCTCCCATCCCCCATTTTGCAGAATGGTGAAATGACTTGCTCAGTAGAGCCCTTATCTACTGCCTCCTAGTCCAGTGTTCTTCCCTTTCCATCACTGTGCTCTGAAAAATGCGTAGCTCACCTACAAGAGTGCACGATCCACACGTGAGCACAGGATTGGACTAGTGTTTCTGGCTTTTTTTTTTCCTCCTTCTGGATTTGTTTTTAGAGGATGTGAAACTAAGTATCTATGACCATAACATATTACAAACCAGTGAAACCTATTATAGCTCTGCATTAGTATTGTTCTGCAGCTGAAAAGCAAAGTCACCTGCCCCACTAAAAAACATCCAACTAGAAAAAAGCAAAGCAAATGGAATACACAGGTTTTTGTAATGTCGTGCAATGACGTCTTCTCTGAATATATTTTCATTAATAATATTAATAATCTTTGACTCCACAACGTTAGACGTTTATCTCATTTTATGCCACAGATATGTTGTTTCATATAGGGATAAACTGAATTTTGATAAATCTAGAGTCACTAACTTTAAATATGGAAACCCTTAAATCGTGGAAACCCTGACCCAATCGTTTTAACCATGCTCCCAATATCACACACAAACTGAATATGTTTAAGTGCAAAGAGTATACCTATGGAATGTATTTAGATAGGGCAAATCTTGATTGACCTAAATGCTTGGTAAATTAGGATTTCCAGTTAATCTGAGCATGAGTTTATGAGGGTCTTTTTATTTCTATCCTTGTTGCTGAAAATCTTTACTTAGCTTTAAAATCTGAAATGCCAAATACCCTAAGAAGCAGTCTGCTTAAACCACCACCACCACCAACAGAAAAACCTGGAATTTCATCAGTCCCCAAATTATACATTATAGCATTTTGACAGATAATGAAATTTGACATTTTAAAGGTACAGAAATATAAATATTGCACAAAAGACATCTTAATTAAATACTTTAATCACTAAATGAGAAAGGGGTATTGAATCATCTGTTATATAAGATTTCTTTCCCACATGATTCTTTGTACCCATACAAAGAGTCTAACTGTACAAAAATAAACAACAAATCATGATAATTTAGTGAAGGTGGAAGATAACTTACACTCTAGAAATTCCCAAAACTGTAAGAATTACAGCAAATCTTTGGGGGACAATAAATGGGAACCAGTTAGTATTTAAAATGTAAAGATCACTTTTTATGGGAATACATAAGTAAAGACCTATACTTTCTTAAACAGTTATGAAACAATAGAAGAAATGAAATGTATTTACCTTATTATCACATCATAGGAGTCGATTTTTTCTCCCAGTGTCTTATTCTTTAAAACTGCGCCATTACCAACAACAATACATTTTTTACAGGGAACTCTTGAAAACATAGATATAACAGAAAGCAATGGATTAGATACTTAGAGATTCCTTTATTGAATTACTCATTACTCAGGCATAGGGTTATTCATTTTTTTAAAGACCCAAAGCAAAGTTCCAATAATAGTACATACAGAAACAAGAAACCAATGCCGTATGGGACGTGCCAGCAAGAAAGAAGATGTTGGCAGGAAGTAGTTAGCTAAAGAACAAATATATTCTGTGTTGATGGTGAAGATAAGGTGTTGTTTGTTTTAAAAATCATGTGAATAAAATACACACATACACACACATACATACACACACACACACACATGCTACCCATTATTCTGAGCATTTCATGGCCATGTAATGAATACAGGCCCAAGCAGAGATGTGGATCTTGCTGCAGAAGTACTGACTCTTAGCATTCTTCAATCTAGGTTTGTTGGTAAGTCATTTCAGTCACGTCCAACTTCTGGTGACCTCGTTTGGGGTTTTCTTGGCAGAGATACTAGAGTGATTTACCATTTCCTTCTCCAGTTCATTTTACAGAGGAGAAAACTGAGGCAGACAGGGTTAAGTGATTTACACAGGCTCACACAGCTATTAAGTGTCCCAGGCCAGATCTGATGTCAGGAAGATGAGTCTTCCAACTCCAGGCCCAGCAATCTATCCACTGTGCCACTTAGCTACCTTCAATCTGGGTTAGGCCTTTCAAATATGACAATAAATGGAATCTCTTATTACAAAGGTAAAAATAGGTGCTATGTGATACTCCTCAGTATCACAGAGAGTCAATTCATTGACTATACTTTCATTCATCACCTAGGGAGTCATCAGAAAGCTGGAATTACATTCACACTATCTACCTCACAAGTAGGAGGGCTCACAGCACTGTGTGGATCACTGTTGGTGAAGGAGTTTCCACATCTAAAAGTCAGCTGCTGTCATTATGGTAGAGTTACTGGACTAAGCTATCTATGGGAAGACTAGTTAAAATTTGCGACCTAAAGCTTGAAAGAAGCTGATCAAATGTGTGTGTGTATGTGTGTAAAACAAGAGGCTTCAGATGTTTTTGTGAAATACATTTGCCCATCAATTATAGAAATTTATTTTGAAGCAATAAACCAGGATTAGAAGCCCAGATTCAATGATTGTAGGGATTTTAGAGTTCTAGTTCACCTCCCTCTTTTTACAAATGAGGAAATCGTGCCTCAGAAGGGTTAAGTGACAAGTTCACACAGGGAGAGGAGGGGAGGGGAGGGTAAAGGAGACAGAAAGAGAAAGAGGGGAGGAGAGAGAAAAGAGAAGAGAGGAGAGGGGAGGAGAAAGAAGAGGAAAGATGGGGTAGAGGAGAGAGGGGAAGGGAAAAAAGAGGAGAGGAGAAAGAGGAGGGGAAATAAGGGAAGAGGAAGGACAGGAGACAGACAGAGACAAAGAGAACATTCATACAAGGTCCTTTGACTCTAGATCCATCACTCATTCCATTAACTGTGCTATTTTTTCTTGAAATAGGACATTATTTAAGGTTTTGAATATTTACATGTACTTCTGATGGTGAAAATAGTCCACAGAGAGAATTTTCTTTTGCAAAGTTAGATTCAGAGACTTTCTGTTCCCATTGCCCAAAAGGCTTGGAGGAGTAGTGTGTGTGTGTGTGTGTGTGTGTGTGTGTGTGTGTGTGTGTGTGTGTACACATACATATACACACATACATATATATCACAAATATAATAATAAATCTTTCAAATGACCTTTAAAATCATGACCACAGGTTCTAAATCTGGCTTAATTTGCAGATGCTACGAAGTCAAAAGAAACTGTCAGTTTTATTTTACAGGAAAAGGGTAGCAGATATAAACTCTTTGACAATGGCTCAAGGGTGAATTTTAAGGTCCAGCTATAACTTAAGTTTATCCTGTATCAGTTTATGTATCAGCAATTATAAAATCTTTTTAGGTGAGGGGAGAGGGAGGATAGTGGATCGTGAAGCACCAGTACTGCAAACCCATACCAAACTATGATGGAGTAAAGAGCTTCTACATTCCTACTCCTTACCTGTTCTCCTGCACTCACTCTACTCTCTCTCTGTACCTCCCTCTCTCTCCCTCTCTCTCCCTCTCCCTCTCCTTCTTCCCTCCCTTCTCCCTCTCATTCTCCTCTTCTCCTTGTTTTCTCTCTCCCCACTCTCTCTCTCTCTTTCTCCCCCTACTCCAAAGATTAACTATGCTAAAGTAAAGAGTAAAGAGAGCTGGGAGCAGCTAGGTGATGCAGTAGACAGTGCTAAACTCATCTTCATGAGTTCAAATGCAGCCTCAGACGCTTATGGCCCTGGGCAAGTCTTTAACCCTGTTTGCCTCAATTTCCTCATCTGCAAAATGAGCTGGAGAAGGAAATGGCAAACCACTCCAGTACCTTTGCCAAGAAAAGGCCAAATGGGGTCACAAAGAGTCAGGCATGACTCTTTGAAACTGCTGAACATTCTGAATCCTTATATTATTAACCTCTCAGATACTAAAAAAAAAAATTGGCTTCAAAACTGTCTATACTTTATACACTTATACTTAGCTGGTATTTTCCATCCACTCAAATGTACCTTCCCCAAGTTTCCTCTGCTCAACAATACAGTGGAAAGGACACCAGACTTTCAGGTGCAAGACTTGAGTCTGAATCCCTGCCTTTGCTACTTGTTAGGAGGAGGAATAGTATTTGTTCTAGAAATTAATTAAATAAGCATATAAAATGGGAATGATAATACCACCTATCTCATAGGGTTATTATGAGATAATATATGTCAAATGCTTTGCAAATCTTAAAACACTATGTAAATGTTAACTATTATTACTATTACATTATAGATGAGCTACAGATGTCCATTGGTAGAATGACTCTGCCTAAAGTCCTTTTAGGACATACCGCCAAATCTCAAATAGCAATAACAGCACAGCTAAACTTACAATTTTCTAAAAAAAAAAAAAGCCTAGGAAAGATAAATGTTTTCATCTTAGAATGTATGCCTTTATTGTAGGCATAGGGACCGAACTTGTGATTTCACTGGTATAAGGAACTCCCAAGTGAAGAAATTCCCTCTGTCAGTGCAAGCTGACACCTCCTCTGCAACTCACAGCCTTAGAGAACTGCTGAGGGCACATAGGGTCACATAACCAGTATGTGTGAAAAGTAGGAGCTGAACCCAGGTCCTTCTGCCTGTGAGGCTCTCTATCCACTCTGCCATGCTGCTACTGTGTGTGTGTGCGCATGCGTGCGTGTGTGCATGTGTTACATATAAACCTAGTCTCAATTCCTATTCTAAGAAGCCTACACTGGCAAGCATCATAGAACTCTACATCATTAAGACTCAACAACCGTCAAACAATTAAAACATTCAAAACCCTGAAGGAAATCCAACTTTGTTCTTACGAATATTAAAAACAAAACATATAAGATCTCTAGGAACAACCTTTATGTTTGTTAGCCTAGTTAATCTTTGGAGTGGGGGGAGAAAGAGAGGAAAGAGAAAACAAGAAGAGGAAGATGAGGGGGAGAAGGGAGGAGAAGAAGGAGAGGGAGAGAGGGAGAGGGAGAGACAGAGAGGGAAGGAGGGAGAGAGACAGAGAGAGAGAGAGAGAGAGAGAGAGAGAGAGAGAGAGAGAGAGAGAGAGAGAGAGAGAGAGAGAAAGAGAGAAAGAGAGCACAGGAGAATAGGAAAGGAGTAGGAATGCAGAAGCTGGCTCACTGCTTCTACCCCTTGCCTCATTCTTCCAGGAAGGGCAGCATGACGGGGAGCCAAGTACATGCCATGGGTTACACTGACAGCATACTCTTCCCATATGGCCCCCAGGAGAAGGGGATCATGGCTTTCTGTAGGAAAAATTCTTAAGAAGATGCTTTCTTAACCTCCCTCCCATGTATCTCCACCTCTAATGCCCTCATTATCAACAGCCTGAAGTTTCCATCTCCTACCCTCTCCCAGAGTGGTTTACACTCTAAAATGATGCTCTTCTCCTGCACCCCCACCACATTAAAACTCTCAGTCCCTCAGTGTTAGAAGGAAAGCATCCACGCTATGTATGACTGACAGACAGACAGGTACATCCCTTTCCCTGAACCCTTTAATGATCCAGTGGTGTTTGCTAGTCTGACTGCATCTCTAATTGTTAGACTTTTAGACAATGTCAGGGAGGTCTTTTTGGTAGGATGCCTTCCCTTTGACCTAATAAATCACAGCACTTAAAAGTAAGGTCCTCTATTCTGCTAATAAACAAAGTCAATGGGGTAGAAGGACAGGGAGAGGAGAGTGTCTTATTCCAGTCTAATATTTCATATCAAAGAGGTCTTCAGTGTCATAAGCCAAAGGGACTCTAGCATCCATTTTGCTTTGACTCCCATCACCCAGGAACAGGTACACCTTTTAGCCAGAAAACCCAAGCTCTGAGCAATCCTTCCCAAAAAGCAGGCAAGTCCATGTGGTTTCCTTTAAGTTAAGGATCTTCACAGGATACTAGGACCAGCTTTCTGTTTCTCCCTTTCCACCCTCCATTCCACAAAGCTGACCTTAGAAATACTGCCCCTAATCTGAAGCCTGCAACTTTTGGGCATTCATGGGAGGCCTACCTCTCATCCTCTTCTCCTAAGAACTGGGCACTGACTCAATGGATGACCCAGGCATACTGACCCAGATACAGCCAAGACCCAGTCCTGGCAATGTCATCAGTGGCAACAGCCCTACTCTGAATAAGCCCCATTAGCTCTGGGAGTTTGTCCCATAGGATCTGAAGAGCCAGGCAACGAGAACGTAAATGAAAACATGTAAAATAGTTACTAAGTGTGCTTTTGGGCCCTCCTATACCATTTATGCCTGATTACCACACAATATGAAGAGTAGTACAGAGTACTGGATAGGAATAGAAAGACCTGGATTTTTGCTGACCTCACCAAGTTGAGAAACTTCTGAATTTCAGGCACCTTAATATGTTGTAATAATGATGCAATCCTCACTGCAGCTACAAAGAGTTTGG